CCTGCGTCCATATCTGCCTCAGCATCGTCAGCTAGTGCTTCCTTATCAACCAAGTCTGCTTGAGTTGCGTCAATCTCTTCTTTACCTGCGTCATCTTCGATGTTTTCTAAGTCCATATCTCTACTCTGACGCATTCTAATGCTTTTATATGCTTTCGGTGAACAAGGTCCGCTATGTAGGAAGCTTACTGTAGGAATTTCTAAAAGATCAAATAGGGAAGAAACGTAAGAAATGGCATTGCCGCTTTTATCTGATTGCTAATCGCATGGCCGTATGGAGGGATTCCACATTACACTATTGAAAAGTGAAACTGGAACTAGTTTTATTTACTTAACTGGTCTTGAGATAGGATCGCACGTGTTCAAAGTCTTTTAAACCCGGCTAAATATTTCGAAAACGGTGCGATTTCATAGCGATTCAACGCGAATACGAAACAATTACAATTTCCTATACTGGCAAGTGGAAGCTTCCGAAAACCCGCAAAAACCACAGCGGTTATGGGATTCTGGAGTGATCGCGAGGTTCTCGGATGTTCCGAGACACACTGAAACGTGTAGGATTCCGCCGAGCTGAAGCAGAGGTTGATGTTAGCGTTGATGTTAACACCCCAGTATCCCAAATACCGATAATATCAACCTCTACTTGAGCTTCACAGAGTCCTACATACCTCAGTCTATCTCCTACACAGTTTCAGAACTTTTCAAAACCCGTCAATTTACGCTCATTGAGATCAGTAATTGTATTGCTTCCTGTAAACTCCCCCCCTTTACTTACTGTTGCCTAAGGTCCGTTGCAAGATCGCGGAGCATCTGATTTTATTGTTGAGAACACAGCGTGAGGGCGCTGTCATTGGTTCACCATCAACCAACCCACAAACTGGCATATATAGGCGCGGACAGACGGTTTCCTCGCATATGGGCGTAGAAGTAGCTGGCTGAGCCGCAGGCATGTTATCCGCCTCGGAAGATTCGGCGCTGACCAATAGCTGAGCTGGCAAGCTCACGACGGCAAGGATTACTAAACAGCTGTAGGCACGCATTCTTGATGAATTTTAATTACTTTTTAGACAGACCTTTAAATACTCTTTTAATTATAATAAGTATATACACGGAATACACCGTTACTTGCTTCTGAGACACTTTCGAGCTTGTGATATAGCAGTGCTCGAACTCAAGCGCTTTTAAGTGGATCACTTGAAGGTTAAAGCACGCATCGCATCGAAATGTGTGCCAACAACTGTATAAATAACGGTTAGTTGGGGAACTAACAAAGCGGTTTATTTGTTTAATTTGTAGTTTAAAATGAGTTTTAAACAGATTCAGGGTCGAATCTTTATTTGATTTGCGGAAACATTTGGCACAACAATTTACATTGAAGGCCGGAAGACCTTGAGTAAGTTCAAGTTACAAGAAAAATGTGTTTACCACTTCTGTAAATATTTGTGATGTACATAATTTAATTTTGGACATTCGGTAGATAGTTTTCAGATCAGCGCGGTGGATCCAAAGTGGCAACTAGTAAGTCTTGTATTAGTAGCACAGTCTGCTGAGGGTAGAAGAGTGAGTATTTGATTTAACAACTCGCAAGTCGAATTTTTCAATTGGAATGGAGTGCACAGCGGGTTCGAGAGGTGAAGACGTAAAGAAGCTTTGAAATTCATGGAATGTCACAGCAGCCTCGGAAATAGTTTCCTGGTAAAGCGGGCTTGTTACAAGCTCTCCCAACGACTTGTCAACTTCTCTTAGAGGATTTTGAATCAGCTCAAAGGCGACCGAATGCTAAGTTGTACTTTTCTGATTGCTTTAAGGAAATTCTTCCGCCAATAAGTTGGTTGCTGCACAGTATGTAGAAACCAGAAGTGCTACGGGAGTCGCCTCCAAAAAAGGTTATTTCTGAAACCAAGCTCTTTCTACAAAGTTTAAACGACAGAGTCCCAAGCAGGGACTTCCCAAGGATATATATTTTTTTGAAATCGAAAAGTTACTCAAGGAAAGACTTCACAATGGATCTATTTGTAATTTTTTAAACTCGTACAAGCTCTTCAGTACACTTTTTGAGGTAACTTGTTGGTATGGTAGTATCAATATTCCTGCATATGTTTCGGCGTAGTGTACGTGAGAGAAAAATGATTTTAGGACAAGCTCTTCTATGCTAGTACCGGAAACATATGTATACGGAGCGACTATATACAGGTATCAGTAAATCTGTTCTTGTATTGAAATTGCGATTAATTTCACTTTACATATCATCGTTGGTCATAAGGAAGGTTTAAAAAGTCTTCAGAAATGTGAAGCTGTTTCTAAATTAGAACTATACAAAGCGAAGTCAACAGGTCTCTACGTCTAAACATTGGACAATAAATGAAATTTAGACGGCTTAACTCCATTTATGCTTATGGCAGTTACACAAGACCTGTCTAGAGGGAAATATATTTGCGGTTTGCCACCGAGGTCATCATCGGTATGTTTCAGACACAAAATTACGCCCTAAGGATTAGAAGTAGGGAGGAGACAGAAAAATATAGACGGTATAGTGTCTTCAAACGAACTAAGGAGCGACTTAATTAGAAATAAATTTGTATTTAACAGAAGATTGGTGGGTTCCGTTAGATAAATGTTAGTTAGCTCTCAAACTGTTGAACAATGAGAGAGACAACGGAAATTTACACAGGAAGTCGCTAACTATCAAACTATAAATGATTTATGGTGTATTAGCGAGGAATTTTCACAGTACGTACACAAAAATATACAGTGTTGGAAAAAAAATAGAAACACGCTGGTTGCATTCGCACTCTGCAAATATTTTGTAAGGAAATAAAGTTATATTTATTTATTTTGGATGTTGTTGCTGTATTTTTTTCCAACAGTGTATGAATGAACTAAAATTGTGCAAATATGATCGTAGAATAGAAAGAAATAATGCCAAAAATTATTAATAGCAAGCAAATTCGCGAACTTATCATATGTTTTGAAACATTTGTTCTTGACATAACCTGTAAAATAAAAATTATGGTTAATTTGAGCTTTTTTGACTCAGATATGTTTAAAAAGGACAAGCGAATATCTCTAATGTGTCACATAACCTAAAAAATAAAAATTCTGCAAGAAATTTAAAAATAAGTGTTTTATGAATTGAAATTTAAGTAAAAAAATGCATAAATGTATATAGGTATATATGTTTGCATGTATGTATGTAAATATGCACAAAAATGGAAAAAAAAAAGTTCTCACATAACCTCGAAAGCAAAATATTTCGATTTTTGCAACATTTGTAACCAATTTTTCGGTTAAAATCTTAAGAGCAGCAAACACTTCCTATCAACACACACACACACACTAATCAGATTTACACACACATAGTCAGATTTTAGCGATGTTTACTCTACCACAATAATTGTTTATTTGCATTTATTTATAAAAATAATAATATATATATTTGTAACTGTTTACTGGACTTAAATATTATTTGCACGCACGCGAAGACAGCAGCTGAGAGATTAATAGTATATTGTATAATCAAATGTTATGAGAAATTAATGTTATAGCACCCTTCTCTCAACCAACCAACGCGATTTGTAAATTAGACTGCTTGCAGACATTTATAATTTTGCCTTATATTTACTAATTTGTTATATTTATTTCCTTCAAAGATCACTTGGTTTATACTTAAAATGCTAAAGCACATTTAACCTAACCTCAAAGCTCGTCCATATAGCCCATTTTGCAGGCGTGCCGCAGTACCGCCAGCAAACGCATATTTACTTCATCGCCACCGATCTCAATCGAAACCCTATGAAACTCTTCGCCACGCAAATTGGTCTCGAAGAGGTGCGAGATCTTCGCACATTCCTCTTCGCTCGAGAGCATCCACGGTAGAAAGTGTAGACAAATCATGACGCCATAGAAGGCATAGCGTTTAAAGTGCGCTTGGAAAGCTTCAAAACTTAACGGTTTTCATTTTAAAAGGGATAATAATTAAATAAGCATAAGTAGTAAAAACTCGACACCTACCTGTAGGCTGCCAATTGCGCAGCATCAACTCTTGCATTGTCTTTAACAGCTGCCTGTAGTGTATTAAACATATTTGTGTGGTACGTTTGCAGCATTTCTTGCCAAATGGCATCACGTGTTTCTTCAGTGGTATTCATGTACATGAAGAAACTCAAATCTAAACAGGGACTGCCATAACGCATCTCTTGAAAATCAATCATTTTCACGTCGGCCACCTTTGGCGCAACCGCATCACCGGCTTCCTGCGCTTCATAACGGAACAACACATTATTGCGATTGTAATCGCCATGCAATATGGCGCCGAAATGTTTATCTTGCTCATTATCCACAACACCTGTGCGTATTTTCTCCAACAAACGCGTCGGCTCTTCAATATACTTAGCACGCAAATCGCGCAAACGCTCTATTAATTTTAAATCAACGGCATTTTGCTTATCAAACGTATTGCCATCAATTTTACGATCGAAAAAGTCATAGAAGCGATCGAATGCAGCGCGATAGACATAACGATAAAAGTTGTCTTGTGCATCACGCGGATCCGCATCATTGATAAAGGGCAACGTCAATATTTCACTTTTCAAGCGTTCGAGTTGCGCGGGATCAATTAGCCGCAAGGCATAGCTAATAGCATGATATTGTCCGATGGCACGACACATTAGCAACAGGTGCTCACGCGTAAGATATAGACGTGGTCCCAACACATAACCGCGCGGTTTCAAATGTTCCAGCACTAACACTGACTCGCGCACACCCGGCACGGCGCTCAAACCCTCAATATAACCAAATTTCGCCACATATGGATGTGGCACCCAATCGTCAATGGTGATGTCGAGCTTGGCGGCGGCCAGCACTTTAGCAAAGGCAGGCAGGGCGCGTTCATACACAAATATTTCATTGGCAAATTGTATGTACGACTTGCTGGACTCACGAAAGCTTACATCGCCTTTCATGAATTTGGCCACAAGCAACCGCTGCTTGGCTCTATGTAGAGAATTAAAAAAGAAAGTATAAAAGTATGAGTGGAAATGTGCAAAGTTATTTATTTCTAAATTTCTACACACCCGTCGGAGGTCTGCGTATGCAATTTAATGTTGTAGAGTGCCGACATAAAGCCGTCCAGCCCGCTTGCATGCTGCAGCTCGAGCTTCAGCAAGGTTTCGCCTTGCAATTTCGTCAAAATTTCCGGCACTACATATTCTTTAATATAGTTTAAATGCGTATTGTCGCGCGACTTACTCATTGCACTGGCGAATTTGTTAACTGTTTGAAAGGCACTGTTTGACTGTTTGTAATGTTGGAATTTCGGCAGCTGTGTTTCATGCGCAGTGTGTCAGAAGCTGCAAAAGAAAAGTAGAAAGGAAGTCAGTAGGAAGAATAAGAACTTTAAATTATTTATCGTTAAATATATTTTTAAATAGTTGATGGTATTTTTGCGCAACGACACAAGTACATTACTTTGTGCATATATTATTCAAAATAAATTTAATGTTATATTGATTTCGATTAAAATGATAGCACTTTAATGCAGTTATTAATTAATTTAGCAGCTAATTCGGCTGCCACTTGCTCCTAACGCTTCAAATCACAACTTGTTTGGGAAAAGTTACGCAACGCGCTTAATAAATATATGTTTAAATAACCATAGTTAGCCTTAATTAAATAATAAATGCTTATCAGCACATTATATCAAGATTTTAAGTGGCACTTAAGCGATTAAGCAACGTGGACGAATCGCTATCTGTTGTGGGATGCTTTCCATATACATACATACCTATTTACATATGGTTATTGAATACAAACGTACTTAGAAACTCATATAACAGGCAGCTATAAACAAAATATTATTATGTACTACTACTACTGCAATAACGAATTTTCACCATACTACATTTACATTGCAGCAGTGCGCAGCGATTATTATTAATTGATAGATATCAGCACTTTACAAATTCAATTAAACAAATTATTGTGTTTCGCTCCAAACTGTAGCCGCAGACGAGTGCGTTGTAATTTATAAACGACAAATATTCATTGAGCAACGTCAGCATGTTCATTTTATAAATATAAATATGTAGTATGTACATATGTGCCTAAAGAATTCGCTTGCATTTTTGCGGAAGTAACTGTATTTTTACGCTTTGGCTAACGAGCGTAGCATTTTGCTTTGTAAAATCCCTCTCTAGCAATTCTTTACAGCGAACAATTGAACTGTATGAAATTTGACACAAAAATGCCATGAAAATAACTAATTTTTATTTATTTGTACTTAATTATTATATTTATATTTAAAACACCGGCACTCACATATGTAAACTTACAGCTTGTTATCGTTTCAGGTGGTTGACGTTTATTTGACAAACATTTTCGCTACAAAATTACATATTGACACAGCGTTGCTTTTCGATGTATTTTATAAACTGGCTTTCTTAGCACTTTATATATTGTAATACTCATATTTTTAAGGCTTTAATTAATTTATTTATTTGTTTTTATTTTTCTCTTGCTGCACTTTAAACAAGTTTTTGTTTTAAAAACAACAATTCGATTTTAACCGCTGCAATTCTTTTCGCTTTTTACAACCACGCTGTAACCAATTTTTCGCGCGCATTTTATATTTTGGTATCCAGGCATACATACGCCAGCACTGAACACACGCCATGCGAATGTCGCACAACAAAAAACAGCTGACTTTATCAGTCATCATGCAGAGAATAAGAAAATTAATAGACGCGTAAATTTTTCTAATTGCATTCTTTGTGGTTTGTTTTTGTTGAAAACAAAAAAAGTTAATACTATCGATTCAAAAACTCAAAGTCGGTATATTAGTGTGTTAAATAACGAAAAAAATTTATTTGCACATAAGCGTTGCACGCTATGGAGCAGGTTGCACATGTAGAAGCGTGCCGCCTGTGCGCGAATTTCTATGTGACCGGTGCTGAGGTCGAATTTGTACATCTCTTCCAACCACTGACCGGACTTGAGGAGCAGTTGCACTTTGCACGCACCGAATTGAGCAATTGGCACTTGCAGGTGAGTAAGCTGTGCTAAAGTCGCTATTGAATTTGCGCACATTTCACAATATGTTGCAATATTGACAAATGTTTACTATTTTCATTGTTGTTGTTGTTGTTACAATATGTAGATTTCGGGCGATGATGGCTTGCCACAGCGTATTTGTGCAAATTGTTTTACACAATTTTGTAATATATACGCATTCCGTCAGCAATGTGTGTTGGCACAACAAAAGTTGTTGCAATCATTTGTGGGCGTTGGTCTGAGCGCAGACAATGCAACTACAGGCGAAGCTAAACAACAACAGTCAAGCTCAAACACTGATTTGACCAGCGACAGTGAGCTGCTGAATGGGTTGAAAATGGAGGCACCCGTGACCAGCGCAGAATTAATGGCCAGTTTAGATTGCTTACAAACGCCCACCACCAGCGCTGACGTGATCGCCAGCTTAGATGGCATGCAGCTGCCCGCTAGTGTGGCGGAGACGCTCTCCATGCTCACACAGGAACTGACTACCATGCAAAATGGCACATTACTGGATAATAGCGCCAGCTCCATAACCACACATGCTAATATGGACACGAAGACGGCGCAAACGAATGTTTTGCAATTCAATGCAGCTACAACAACACAAAACATATACTATACACAGCCGACGCCAATCACCACAGTGAGCGCAGACACCAATACGCCAGCGACTTTAGTGACGACCAGTGACAGCACGCCAAAGCGTGCTACAAAATGCAGCAAAGCCAGTGATATTGATTTGGAGGAAATGCTACAGGGCAGCATTATACAGAAGAACAACAATTCTTCCACAGATTTGAAGGCTGCAGCGCAAACTGACGACGCAGCAGCACAGCAGCCCTACCCCAATTATAATGAGCTGTTGGAAGATGGTGCGTAGTTAGCAAAAGTTTATACCCTGAACAGTGTATGTTACGTTTAACGCGAAGTTTGTAATACCCGAAACGAAAATTATTTATGTAAATGATGAGCTGAGTCGATTTGTCCGTCCGTCTCTCTGCATATGCGCGAACTAGCCGCCAGTTTCTGAGATATCGAACTGAAATCTTACACACGTCCTTTTATTCGCTAGAAGCTCTTGATTTGTCAAAACGGACTATATCGGACCACTATAGCATGTAGAGGTCATACAAATTGACCTATCAAAATGTCAAAAAAAGAGTTTTCTGTACCCTTTTATGCTACAAGAAATGCATCTGTGAAGGGTATTATAAATTCGGTACAACCGAAATTGGTTTGTTTTCTTCTCCTTACTCTAAACATTTTCTCAAATATTCACACACAGATATGGACCTTATCTCATGCTCCGACCCCGAGGACACACACGAAATGGACGAGCTCGAGACCGATGGGGACCCCTCCACACAAACGCGCATCTCACGCAACCCATTCGCCTGTCAATACTGTTACTGCCCGAACTCCGGCTCCATCGATCACCTGGTCTTCGACAGCGCCGATGCGCTCTCGCAGCATTTCTTCGACGTACACGACCCCAATTTGCCCTACACATGCCCGTATTGCCCGCAAAAGTACAGCTCCGTCAAGCAACGCGACTATCATGTGCGGCTCATACACCCGACCGCCGCCAAATCCGAACACTGCAACTACTGTAAGAAAACGCTACGCTCGCCAAAAGAATTACACGAGTTCAACTGTCAATATGTAAGCAATTGGCATTGCGATACGTGCGATCAGCGTTTTGTGCAAGTGCCCTTGGGTCGTTTTCGCACGCATCAGCGTCATCACGCCGCCAGCAAGTTTAAATGTCGTGATTGTGCGCGCGTGTTTGTGCGTCGCGCCAATTTGGTCGCACATGAGCGTATACACCGGCCGTCAGTTCAACACGCGATACAGTGCGATCAATGTAAAGAAGGTGAGTGCATGCAAATTACCAAATTACACAAAGCTATGCAAATATTTATTAAAATTTTCGTTAAAACCTAGTATTCTCCAACGATTATGAGGTGCGCCGCCACAAGTATCAAGCGCATGATGGCGCTTTGCCAGTGCGTTGCGCCTACTGTCACAAGGGTTTCGTCAGCATGGCCTTTCTCAGTCGGCACACGCAACACTTCCATCCGGAGAAGTTGAACCACACCAATTTCGCGTCCGCCACCTGCAGCAATTGCGGCTGCGCCTTCAGCTCCATACACAAATTGCGTCTGCACCTGCAGCGACCGCGCGACGAGAACGGACGCTGCATTGAGTTGGTGCGTGAAGTCACGCCATATCAGGAGCGCGCACGCCAGCTACGGCGACCGCGTCTGCACTCCTGCCATCACTGCAATAAGCGCTTCTCCACACGTGCCACGCTCGAAAAACATATGACCACACATGAGGCCGTCACGTATGGCTGCAACGAGTGCACGACCACCTTCGCGAATGCCAACGAGTTAAAGCAGCATGTCATGCAGTTGCATGTGAAGCCACGCTACCTCAAATGTGAGCACTGTGACAAGCGCTTCTGCTATATGCGCGAATTGCAACAACACCAGAAAATACACATCGCCGCATTTGAAGACAAAACGCTGCACTGCCCCGTCTATAAGTGCGGCTTTGTGGCCTCCTGCGCACAGGAAGCACACGATCATGCCATACTGAAGCACAAGCTCGTCGCCTGCGAGTACTGCGATGGGCTCTTTGCGCGCAATCGGCTCTCAGGTAAGTGCCAGCAATTACAAGCCTAAACTCCTATGCTTATATAACTTTGCCGCTCATTTTAATTGCAGTTCATGTACGCACCACGCATGCCGCCCAAATTGGTGTATCTGAATCGAATAACAATAACAATACTGAAGCTAGTGTGCACAGCTCATTGGCGGCACAAAACGAAGACTCTTTGGCCGTGGCGAGCATACTCGACAACAATACACATAACCAAAGCAATGATAATGACATTATGGTATCATTTGAGGATAGCGCCAACAGTGGTGGCGAGAAGGTGCGCGTTGAGTTGGTACATCAGCAGACGCCAAGTATGAGCAGTTTGGTGCTGCAAGAGCAAACGTCCAACACTTTTAAACCACTCATTCCAACGGCCGATGAAATGGAGCAGAACTTCCTAATGAACAATTTGCTGGATCCGGAGCATGAGATCATAGTCACATGATAGACTGTAGACGAACTGTTACTGTGTATGTAGTTGCGACAGTTAATTTGAAAAACAAACAGAATTTCCGTAAGAAGTATTGGCAACGATTTAGAAAAACAAAAACAAATCGGTGTGACCTTAAAGTGAATATCTCGTAGCATTATAACTTAAAATAATTGGTTTTGACAATTCGATATTAATTTTACAAATATGTTTAGTTATCCAAAGAATTTATTTTAACAGTTGTTTCTTACAGCCAACAAAACAGCTAATGAATTAAAAATATGAATGAATTGCAAATAATGCATTTTAATTAAGTAATTTTCGTAAGTTAAGTACTAGAATTAAAGTATTTTCAAAATATGTTAAAAAAAACCTATGAAAGAAGTAAAAACAAAAAAAAAACTACTCGTAACGCAGAATTCTACCTAGGGAACGCAATCAACCACAACTTTACAGCAAGCAAATAAAAAAGTTATAGCAATTAAAAACAAAAATTAATTCAAAAAGTTGAAAAATGGGTCGCAGCTTTAAACGAATAATGCATACCTATTTAAAAAAAAAAACTGTAAAAAAGTATGGGCAAAGTTTTTCAAGTAAGACAAATTCTAAAGACAAAGTATATTAATTAAAATTAGTAAATAATTTGAAAAAAAACGATGCTGCAACCAAAATATTGAAATGGTCGATGTTTTAAACATAAAAAATGCATGTTCGAAAATTCGAACTTAATTCGAAAATACATATTAACCGCAGAAACATAAAAATATACCATTAACAATTCTGCAAACAAAATTTTTGGGCCTAAGTAATGCATAAAATAAGTTTTGAATATGCCAATAATGGCTAACAAGTAATTTACATTTAGTAATTGTATTCGTTAAAAAATTGCATAACTGCAAAATATAAGTATACATACATGGGCCGCTTAAGGCATGAATCTTTTGCAATCAGTAAATATCTTTGAAAAAGAAATTATTTTCGAAAAAAAAAATTTTTAGTACGTCAAAACATATTAAAATTACACTTTTTTTTATTCATGTATATTTCTGTTGCTAATAAGATTTTTCGCATATTCGAAATCAAAACCATTATAAACATTATTATTATTTTTTTTAATTTTAAATATTAAATTATTTGGATCGAAAATTACAACTCAATTTATTAAAGCAAATATTGTGTTATTTTTTATAAAAATATGTTACTAATTTGGCCATGAAATTATTTTCAAAAATATGAATGTCTTTAGTTATGAAGGCTGCTAGCTAGTAATTTAAGTTTTTTTTATATGCATATTGTAAATGTAGTGAGCTTTTTGTAAAAAGTTTCAATTATTCTAATTTAAAAGCTTGTTTTGTACGAAAAATTATATTTTTTTATTACTAAAATATTGGTTTACAAGGAAAATTATTTCAAAAAACAAGAAAAAGCAAATACTCAATAAGGGACACTTTTTGACCAAAAAAGTTTAATTCGAATTTTCGAAAATAGCTGTAAATGTATTGTTGCCGCAGAGGAACTTTAAAATTAACTTAAAAGTTCGTGTTAACGCTTTTTAGGCATTCAACATTAACTTCGAAAATTCGAACATTTAAATTTTGTGTTTATTTTATTCTTTTGTGCAACTGCGAAGTTTTTCGTAACCCATATTAGTTAAAATATGTCAAAAGTGACTGGAAAATTGCGTAAACACTTATAGTTTTGCAATTTATAGGTCTTTGTTTTGCTATAAACATGTTCCATTATGAGTTTAATTTTTCTCATATTTATGTATGTATTGTATATTATAAAATATGGTTAAACTAAGCTTAAACCTGCTTTTACTATATATTACTATTATGTGAATTTAAGATATTTTATAAAATATTTATAGTTTTTTATTTTTGTGGTTTTTGTTGGCTTTTTCCATTCCATGGCTTCAAAAGTAAAACTCTTAAATTATAAGTTGATACATTGAAATTATGTTAAAAATTGCTAGCAAGTGAAAAATTGTAAGCATAGAACTATGTATGTATTTATACGAGTATGAAGTAATTGTAGTTGTAGTGCTTCTCATCAATAGACATACAAACATCGACACATAATTACTCATTCATGACCACGCTAAGCCTAACTGTACTCATATTTAACATTAAACGCCTGAAGCTAAAATTTATAAATATTCGAACTGATATCCAAACTGTAATACAATATTTTATACACAAATACAGAAATGTCTCAATAAATAAATAAATATTTGAAAAGTATGCAAATAATAGAGAATGTTTATGAGTTAAAAAATACACGCCACTAAGATGCTAAAAAATGAGGGGTGTTCGAAAACAGTATGTAATATGAATGTTTGAAATTTCGAAAGAAACATGCTTGGAATTAAAAGGAAAAAAGAAAGTAGGAAGTTTCAAAAAAACTAGCAGAAAATTTTTGAAAAAATATTTTAAATTTTTTTTATCGAATTCGAAATATATTAATTCAAAAATATTTAGTTATGTCCTTTGAAATGTGAAACTCCCTACAAAAATTGTAAAAAAAAAAAATATGAATTTAAATTTTTAGGAATTTAAAAATTCAGAAATATGCAGTTATGTTATTTTTAAGGTGAAATTCTTAAAAAACACGATTTTTTGTTAATAACTCATAGATTCAAAGATTTTGAAATCTTTAACAAAAACACACTTGTTAAAAATCATAATTTAAAAATTTTTTAAATTTCGGTATTTTGTTGAAAATTTCATAAATCCAAAGTTTTTAAAATATAAAAATATGGATTTTAAAAAAAGCAGACTTTTTCTTATTCCTTAAAATATTGTTGGAGAAAATCATAAATTCAAAATTTTTGAAATTTCAAGATACAGAAATATGGAGTTATGTTATTTGTAAGCTTCAATTCATTAACAAAAGCAAATTTCTTGTTAAAAAATCATAAATTCAACGTTTCTGAAATTTTTTAACAAAAGCAGACTTGTTAAAAAACATAGTTTAAACATTTTTGAAAGTTCGAAATATAAAATTATGGATTTTCGTCCTTTTTAGATTTCAGAGTTTATGTAAAAGCCGTAGCTAATTCGAATTTTTTTAATTTCGAAATTGAAAAGTATGGAGTTGTGTATTTTTTAATGTGAAATACGTTAATAAAAGCAGTATTTTTAATATCAAATTAAAATATTTTGAAAATTGTAAATATACAAATATATAGTTATATATATTATATTATGCAAAGTGAAATGCCTTAACAAAAGCAAATTTCGTGCTAAACGAAATAAAAAATTCAAAATTTTTAAAATTTTTTATACGTTCAAAATTTTAAAATTTCAAGTTAAATGCTTTTTGGTGCAAAATATATAACAAGAGCAGTATATAAGCCTTAAAAAGCTTGCAATTTTCCTAAAAAGCCAAACTAACCGCCCTACAGCATCAAAAAATTGATAATAATATAAAAGACCAACAACTACAACATATTAACGTTTAACATTTTAATCAACACTCTCAAGCGGATCTGCATTTCAACAGATCAACAACAACACAGCAATAACAACAAGTGCAATACAAAATTAATTGTTAAACAATAACAAAATTCAAATGTTTGTGTATGTGTAAATATATTAAACATAAGTACGTGTGTGTATGTCAGCTGCGCGGCATCTTGCCAGCGGCTGGCTTGCCGGTTAATACTTAACGAGTATAGCGCTGGGGTCCAAAGTGCGAATACACAGCGAAACGAGTCACATACGCAAGCAACGAGCAAAACAAATTCCATAAAAATTAAAAAAAAAAGGTGCTAGCGGGTAAGGCATAAACAACAAAAAATGTATGTATAATTAGAATTATTGAGTAAACAGTAGCAAGACAGTAAATAACATACAGAGAATATTGTTTGAGAGGCAGTGTCTCAGGCTATTAGCAGCCACTTATGACTTAGTAGGGGCGTTAATGTGGCGAGTGTGCGTGACTGAGCGGCAATAAGTAAAAAAATATATGAGGAAATAAATTATGATGAATAATAAATATATACAAATTAATCAGAAAATAAAATTAAAA